ACCCAGGTGAGCCCGGGTGCCCACTGCCCCAGTCCCCCTGGCACAGGTAAGAGTGGGCCTGAGGGAGAGTGTGGTGGGGAGTGGAAGATGCGCTGGAAAGGACAGAAGCGGGGCGAGGAGCTCAGGGGTGGTTCAGGACGGTGGCTGGCTGATTGGCCAGAGAGTTGGGAGGTTGGGGTTCTGGGGGAGGGGGCGAAGTTGGGGTTTTGTGGGGAAGGGGTAAGAGGGGGGATAAGAGCGGCAACTCTGGATCCAGGCTGGCCCCAGAGCTGGGAAGCACAACAGGAAAAGGAAAGGCAGGATGCTCCTCTTGTCCATGCTGGTGCGGTGAAACAGGGAGGCAAGTAGGAAGCTAATACTTATGCTCAGACCCCTGCCTCGGGGGCTCTGGGCAAGGCGGCGCGTTCTCATTTGTAGGCTCTGCAGTCCTCATGCCAGCCCTGCGGGGTGGGAAGATGCCTCGTGCTGCTCGGGTGGGAGGGAGAGGACCCCTCTCCGTGGGTCTCTCACCATTCCTTGCCCCCGCTGCTGTTAGGCCGTGCTGGGCGAGGAGGGTTTAGGACGTGCCCATGGGGCGGGGGCGGGGGCTGGACCGGACGAGGGCCTGTTGGGTGCAAGGTGCACACCTGACACCCAAACTGCGGCAGGGAGAAAGGAAGGCCGCTATCCTCTTTGATTCAGTCCTAGCCATCAAAAGCTTACAGGCAGGTGGGGAGACAAGATATACAAGTAAAAAGGGAAATAATAGTCGAATGCGATATGTGACCAGTTCCAAAGGAGGGGGCAGCTGATTAAGGAGCTTGTCCATCCATTCAAGAAAAAGTAAGTTCACCACCTACTGTTATTTCGTTCTCCTTGTTGTGTAATTTTCTAAAAATTTAAAGACAGAAATTGGAGAAAGAAGCATTAATGAACCCCACCTCTGTTCCAGGGCACCGAGGATATAGAGATTTATTCATCGAATCAAACAGTATTTATTGGGTGCCTGTTGCTTGCTAGGTACTGTTCTAGGTGATGGGATAGTGAGCAGTAGGCAAAACCAAGTCCCTGCCCTTGGAGCTTAATTCAGATTTGGTACCTGCCTGGGCGGTGCTTTCAGGGCACAGAACAGCCAGCGTGATGGAAATCCAGAAGAGGGCTTGACCCAGCAGGGCACTGGGCTGGGTCCAGGAAAGAGGGAAGACTCCAGCTGGGCTTGGAAGTCAGGGTAGGATCTGGAAAAGTAGAATCGAGGGAGGAGGACGGCACCAGCAGGGGGACGTTGTGAGCTGAAGCTCAGAGGACAGAAGGTACGTGGACTGTGACGGGACGGGAGCTGACAGCTGAGGCGGAGGGTCCGTGTTCAGATGTGGGAGGCAAAGCTGACAGAAGCTGGCTTAGCATCAGACTGTGGAGACCCCCAAATGCTGAGTCGCCCTGAGAGGCGTTGCCAGGGTTGCAGGCAGAGCCCCTCCCCTGTTCCCAGCAGCCTTCTGCTCTGGGTGGCCTGCCCTGGGTGCCCCGAGGGCCCTCTTGCATCACCAGGGGAGTCACGCCAGAAAGCCAGGACACCTGACGTGGGAAGACTGAGACCTTTCCTGGGGCGGGAGTGCAATGACATCAGAGGCCCAGACGGAACCAGAATGAGAATTTGGGGTCCCTGGGTGGACACATGAACAAGAGGTGGGAACATCAAAGCAGTGCATTGCCTGCTCTTGGCCGTATCGGGTACCCAGACACCCGCTCCGGTCTCTTGACATCCAGAGAGTCATGAGGGCATCTCCCTCTTCTGCTCCTCTCTTGTCTCCATCTCATGGTCAGAGAACGTGAGAACAGACACCGCTTAGTGACCACCTACTGCAAGCCCCTCTGCCTTTGCCCATTGAGAGACCCCTCAGGGGTGGGGTGGGGGAGGTGACTTCCTGGAAGTCAATGGGAAGACGGAGACGGAGCAGTGGCCTCAGCAGGACGGAACCCGAGCTCACTGTGCCCCGAGCTGGGTGGCCTTGGCCAGGTCCCTTCACCTGCGCCTCAGTTTCCTCACGTGGGAATAGTAATAGTAGGCCTCCCAGGGCCTACAGGGGTGATGAGGTAGAAGGGTTTGCAGTGAGTGTGCACGTGTGCTATGGACGTTAAGATAATGGTTGAGTTGGGCCCAGATGCCGCATTTCCTGACTCCCCAGCTGGTCTTTGCCACAGTCCTCCTCAGTCCTTCCAGTCCTTCCAGTCATCCCGGCTCAGGCCCAGAGGACGGCCTGTGGCTCCCCCCATCGGGGAGGCCCAGCACTGGATGAGCTGAAGGAGGCCTCTCCGGAAAGGCTTCCCCGCTTGTGTGCCCTGTCTGAGGGCACCTGCTCCCAGCCCCACCTGCTTCCCCTTCTCCAGGATAACTGTCAACCTCTGAGCACCTCAGAATGTCTCTGGCTGCTGAGCCCAGCCTGGCCCAGCAGGCGGTGCTGGCATAGGACCTGGTCTGGCAGCTAGTTATAAATAGCCCCTGTATCCACAGCCTTGGCAGGGTGCTCCTGGCGTGGGTGCAGGGGACACTCGAGAAGAGGCAGCTGAGGCTGCTGAGGCCCAGAGCTGGCGTGAGGGTACCTGGGCGCAGGCTCCACGGGCATGTGGGCTGTGCAGGCCCAGGGTGCAGGCCAGGGCTGGCTGTGTCTTTGAGGCACCTCTCCTTATCCTATGGCCTGGGATAGAGTAGGGCGGATGGCAAATGAGAGGGCCTGGGACGCCCTTTGGGGTTGGAGGCTGAACAAAGGGGACTGCCTGTCCGATCGCTGTGTCTGAGCGCAGCTCATCAGAGGGCAGCTGGGCCCAATCCTCCTTCCAGGGTGGGAAGAAGGGAAGGAGAGGTCAGGGCCCAGAATGTATCACGAAAGGGCCCTCAGCCCCTCTCTAAATCCCTACAGCCCCCAGTCCTGGCCTGGAGAGGCAACGTATTTCGTGGAAAACTCTATGCTTGGAGTCAGAAAGCTCAATCCACACAGCACCAGCGATAGACTAACTGTGTAGTTTATGTGACCTCCTTTCTCATGGGTGAAACAGGCTTGAAAGTAACTACCGCGCAGGACTGTGGGGAGGGTGCAGTGCGGAAGAGGTCCCTGGAGGGTGTTTCACCATCGTCACGTGAATCTGAAGGAGGCTGATGAGGTAACCGTGCACCTGCAGAGCTTTCCGGCGACCCTGCCCTCTCTGTGTGCTCAGGCTGCCCCAGGCCCTGCACAGACACGCCAGGCCCTCAGCCCCAGCCCATGGACCTGCGGGTGGGCCAGCGGCCCCCGGTGGAGCCCCCGCCGGAGCCCACGCTGCTGGCCCTGCAGCACCCCCAGCGCCTGCACCACCACCTCTTCCTGGCTGGCCTGCAGACCCAGCGCTCGGCGGAGACCATGAGGGTAAAGATAGAGCTCCCCACGCACGCAGCAGCCTCGAGCTCAGACCCGGCACCCCTCCCTCCCTTCAGCCTCCCCAGACCCTCGCCTCCGTCTCCAACTCCTACTCCTCGCCCCTCCCTGGGCGGCCGGCCCTCCCCACAGCTCTCAATGGACACGCCGTTGCCCGAGTTGCAGGTGGGGCAGCAGGAGCAAGAGCTGCGGCAGCTTCTCAATAAGGACAAGAGCAAGCGCAGTAAGCATGGAGGCCTCCCCAGCCGGTGTCCACGGCCTCCTTTGTGGGCACGGGAGGGGGGAGTGCCGGCCTGGGTCCCCCTCTGCTTGCTGGGCACTGCCGGTGAATGTAGGTGGGGGTGAAGCGGGACCCGTAGGCTTCACAGAAGAGGTGGGGCCTCAGGCTTGGCGCTTGCCTGAGGGGTCCCTGGGATGCCTCGTCCTGGGGGCGTGGTCAGGGCAACGGGCAGAGAATGTTCCAGGGAGGCCACCAGTCCACCCACCCCCAACCCACTGATGATTTCTGCCCCTGCAGGTGCCGTAGCCAGCAGTGTGGTCAAGCAGAAGCTGGCAGAGGTGATTCTGAAGAAACAGCAGGCAGCCTTAGAGAGGACGGTCCATCCCAATAGCCCCAGCGTTCCCTACAGGTAACTCCCTCTCCCACCTGCCCCGTCGTGTCCCTGCCGCTCCCCTCCTCCCTGGATGTCAACCTGTGAGCACACGTACACTCACCCCCTCTTCCTCCCAGCTGCCCATCAACTGATCCTCACCCCTAACTTCTAATCATAAGGCCTCCCCCGAACCCCTCTCCCAACTGATACGTGCTCTCTTGTCCTTTAATTATCTCTCCTGCCCCGCCTGTCGCACACACTCTCACACACACACCACGCTAGCTTTCTTTTCTCTTTATATCTTCCTCTGAGCACAAAAACATCCTGATTCCTAGAACAGGATCCTCCCATTGTGTCTGGCCTTTACCCAAGCCCCGGACCCTGGCTCCTATGCCTAGGTCCGAGGGCAGCATCACCAGTGGGCTGCTGGTAGGATGGGTGGCCCAATGCTGCCACCTGGAGATGGCCGCTATTCCTGCCGGCGAGGCACTTCCTGACCGTGCGGGCTGCTGCCTGCCTTAGCAGGTCCCAAAGGGTGGAATGAGATGGCTGCCAGGCCTCTGGGCATGCCTGCCCCTCTGAAGCAGCCTTGGCACTCACTCCACAGAACTCTTGAGCCCTTGGAGACGGAAGGAGCTGCCCGTTCCATGCTCAGCAGCTTCCTGCCTCCCGTTCCCAGCCTGCCCAGCGACCCCCCAGAACACTTCCCTCTGCGTAAGACAGGTGCGTGCGACAGGCCGGCAGGGACCTCCAGGGGAAAGGAAGGACCTTGGATGAGGGTCAGGGAGGGGGGCCTGGCTGGGCGGGGGACAGTCTGCACCCGGTGGCTTTCTCTCTGGCACTGCCTTCTCTGGCCTCTCTCAGAGAGGACTGGGAGGGAGGGCGTAGGCCAGAGACCGGGGTGGGGTGGGGCGGGTGGTGGGGGCGTGTGCGGGGGGTGTGGCCTAGTAACGCCGGTTCCCACAGTCTCTGAGCCCAACCTGAAGCTGCGCTACAAGCCCAAGAAGTCCCTGGAGCGGAGGAAGAACCCGCTGCTGCGGAAGGAGAGCGCGCCGCCCAGCCTCCGGCGGCGGCCGCCAGAGACCCTCGGCGGTGAGGCCCGGCGCGGTGGGCGGGTGGCAGGCCCGGTCCCTTTGGCTCAGGCCCCACCCAGACGAGGGATGCCCGCCTCAGGGCTGCTATGGGTATCTGTCGGGGGGTGTCCTACACACTCGCCAGGGCGCAAGTTGGGGCTGAACCCCCCGCCCCCTTGCTCCGTTGGCTAAGCTGCCGCCTGACCAGAAGAAGGGGCACGCTAAACAAATAAGTGTCCAAACGCACTGGAGACTGGTGGCGGCCTCCCTTCTGCCCGCCCTGCTGGGAAGAAAGCAGGAAGCAGGGCCCGCCCACTGGGGAAGGGGTTTGTTCCTGGCCCCGCCTCCTGGCCCCTGACTGCGCGTCCTCCTCTCCCCAACCCCCAGACTCCTCCCCCAGTAGTAGCAGCACGCCGGCGTCAGGGTGCAGCTCCCCCAATGACAGCGAGCACGGCCCCAACCCGGTCCTGGGCTCCGAGGTAAGGCCTTGCCAGGCTGGGCTCTCGGGGGCAGTTCTGAGGCTCCTCTCAGCAGGCGGCCCGCCAGGCTGGGGCCGCAGGGTCTGGGCAGCCCCCACCGGAGCCTCCTGGGGGTTCTGGGGAAGGCGTGCCCAGGGGTGGAGGTCTGGGACCGGTGACCCCTGCCCTGCTCCCATGGCAGGCGCTCTTGGGCCAGCGGCTGCGGCTGCAGGAGACCTCTCTGGCTCCGTTCGCCTTGCTGCCCACAATCACGCTGGGGCTGCCCGCCCCTGCCAGGGTGAGTGGCTGAGGCGCCCTCCCCCACCCCAAGCGCCCGAGATCTCTCTCTCGCTTCTGCGCCGCACCCGGTGCCCTTCACCGTCTCCCTGCTGGGCTCTTCTCCGCTGTGATGCTCCCCACCTCTCCTCCAGGCTGATGGCGACCGCAGGGCCCATGCGACTCTGGGCCCTCGGGGGCCGGTCCTGGCGAGTCCCCACGCTCCCCTCTTCCTGCCCCATGGCCTGGAGCCCGAGGCTGGAGGCCCCCTGCCCTCTCGCCTGCAGCCCATTCTCCTCCTGGATCCTTCGGCCTCTCACGCCCCCCTGCTGACTGGTGAGTCCCACCTTCTACAGGAGAGGGACTGGATCCCTGCACCCTGCCGAGGGCCAAGCGTGGGCAGGGTCCTGTCCTCCTGGCTCGCCCCCTCCCCCCTCCCCGCCCCGCCCTTGCTTCCTTCTGCTCCTCCCTGTGGTTCCCTCCTTACGCCCCCCACCCCGTTCTTTCCAGTGCCCGGGCTTGGGCCCCTGCCCTTCCACTTTGCCCAGTCCTTACTGACCACCGAGCGGCCCTCCGGGTCAGGCCTCCACCGGCCTCTGAGCCGGACCCGCTCAGAGCCCCTGCCCCCAAGCGCCACTGCCCCCCCACTGCTGGGCCCCCTGCAGCCCCGCCTGGAGCGGCTCAAACCTCATGTCCAGCTGATCAAGGTGAGTGGAACTGGGTAGGGGAAGTGGTGAGGGGTTGCTAAACTGGGACCCTGGGGGCTGAAAGAAGGGAGACTTAGGAGGGGCAGAGATCTGGAGGGTCGGAGAGAGGACGTGTGGCTCCTGGGGGCCCAGCATGTCTCTCAGCTAGCATCTCCCTTCCCCAGAGGCCAGCCAAGCCGAGTGAGAAGCCCCGACTGCAGCAGATACCCTCGGCTGAGGACCTCCAGACAGATGGCGGGGGAGTGGGGCCGCTGGGGAATGACGGCCTGGAACACAGGGAGTCCAGCCATGGGCAGCATGAGGCCCGAGGCCCTATTCCTCTCCAGCAGCACCAGCAGGTATGGTAGTGCCCAGGTGCCCCTCGGAAGGCCGAAGGCATAGTCAGGAGACTCTGGGGCCTGGTAAAGATGGAAGGGAGGGAGATGGGATATCAGCGCAGGGGACAGCTCTGGGACCCACAGTTCCTCTGCCAAATCCACAGCAAGTTACAGACAGACAGACAGACACATGCACACATACACGTGCCGCACCCTCCAGCAGCCTTCCCATCTCAGGGTGAAGCCGTGTCCCTCGTCCAGCAGCGAGACTGGCCTTTCACAGAGCCCCACACATTCCTGCCCTAGGACTTCTCCCCTGTGAGCGCTTGTACTGTCTCCAGGAAGGTGCTAGGGCAGGAGGTGTGGCAGAGATGGGCTCAGCCATTCAACTGTGCAAGTCAAGCCGTGGGGTATTGGTTTGCTGGAGCTGTTGTAACAAGTGCTGCAAACTGGGTGGCTTAAACAACAGGGCTTATTTTCCCACAGTTCTGGAGGCTAGAGGTCTGAAATCAAGGTGTTGGCAGGGTTGTTCCCTCTGAGGGCTGTGAGGGAAGGAGCCGTCCCAGGCCTCTCTCCTTGGCTTGTAGATGGCCACCTTCTCCCTGGGTCTGCACATCCTCTTCTTGTCCACGTCTGTGTCCCAGTTTCCCCTTTTCATAAGGACCAGAGTCATGTTGGAGCTGACCCTAATGATCTCATTTTTAACTTGAGTACCTCTGTAAAGACCCTGTCTCCAAATCAGATCACATTCTGAGGGACTGGGCGTTAGGATTTCCATCATAAATATGAGGTGGGAGGGGACACAACTCAGCCCGTAACACGTGGTAGCAGGCCACACATGTGCAGGCTCCCTCAGGTCCCCGTGTCCTTGGGTGGTTGGCAGTCCTTGGAGACAAGGAGATCCTGGTCAGAGCCAGCCCGAGGCCCCTCACCTAGGTTCTCGCCTTGGAGTCTTGAGGGCCCAGGGAGCTCTGGTGGAATAGGGTGGCCAGTCTGGGGTGCAGACCTTTCGGGGGGTTGGTGGGGGCAGGGAGCTCAGCGACTCAAAGGCCAGAGCCCAGCTGGGAGGCAGGGCCAGAGGCTTCTGCAGAAAAGGGGCCTGCCTGGAGGTTTCCAAGGCCGTAGGCAGAGGTGGATGGAGCAGGGTCCTGAGAACCTGGAGACTGAGACCCCTGTGTCCCTCAGGTGTACCTCTGGGAACAGCAGCGACTGGCTGGGCGGCTCCCCCGGGGAGCCACTGGGGACTCCGTGCTGCCTCCCCTGGCCCAGGGCGGTCACCGGCCTTTGTCCAGGGCTCAGTCGTCCCCAGCCGCGCCTGCCTCACTGCCAACCCCAGAGCCCACCAGCCAGGCCCGTGTCCTGCCCAGCTCAGAGACCCCTGCCCGGACCCTGCCCTTCACCACAGGTAAGGCCCGGATTGGAGGGCAGGAGGAAGTGGCTGGGCGCACACGGGGGCTCGGGGCAGAGGACCATGTCTGTGTCATGGTTAACTGAGGACATTTTTTGAGGCCACAGAACACTTTCTTAGCCTTATGAGATCCCCCCAGTGTCCCGTGGAGCAACTGGTTGTTCTCATTTTACAACTGAGGAGACCCAGGCTCAGGAAATCGAAGGGGACAGCAAGCTGGCAGTCAGGCCAAGCTAAGAATTCAGGTCTCCTGACAACTAGTCCGGGCCTTCAAAAATGACATTTATTATTGTTGCTCTGCTTGTGAAAATAACTCAAGAGCATTTTAGAAATTTTGAAAAATACAGAAAAGCCTAAGAATGGAACAAAAATCACCAGCCAGTATCCCGCCACCCAGAGGCAACCCCTTGTAAATGCTGCCATTTTTCAAGCCAGTCTTTGTTTTAGCCACATCTATAAATCCCCACATACAGTACATTTTGTGGTTACATTTTGTACCCTGCTTTATTCAGTTTGCACATTATGAACACCTTGTGATATAATTAAACTTAAAAAATGAGATCTTGTAGTATGTCATCACAGTATTTTTGTTTAAAGATTTCCTATGGGTTGAGCGGTTAGGTGGTTACTCATTTTTGCTCATTTGAATTTCCTTGTAAATTTCTATAAATCTCCCCTTATCCCCGGGATTGTTTCCCGAGGGTCACTTTCAAGGAGTGGCATCCCCGAGTCAAATGCTGTGTGCATTCTGAAGATCCTAATGTCCTGAGATGTTCTGAAAGTGACCCTCCCACTGGCAGCCTGCAGGGCCCTCCTCTGGGCATCCTGCTGGTCAGGCTGAAACAGTCACTTCCCCCAAACTGCATCTGTTCTGTCACATGGCCCACTGTGGACTTCCCAGCTCCCAGTTTGGGGGCGCCTATTTGGGTCATGACATCCAGTGCGAGCCCCTGACATCAGGCCTCCCTTTGTTAAGGCTCTGAGCTCTTGAGGTCATGGTCATTGTCCCTGGGCCACGTGAGGGGGGTCAGTGAGTCGGGAAGGCAGCGGCTGGGTGGCAGTTGTGCTGGCTGGGGCTGCGTGATGTGTGGGTGAGGTGCCCAAGGCTGCCTGGGTGAGCAGCTGGGGGTGTGCGTACAGGCTCCGAGGGGCAGGATGGGGCGTGTGGGGCTGCGTGGGGGTGTGGAGGGCGTGCCCAGGGCTGGGGGTGGGGACTCGCCGGGGCCCTGGCCCTGAGCCCTGCTCCCCGCAGGGCTGGTCTATGACTCAGTAATGCTGAAGCACCAGTGCTCCTGCGGAGACAACAGCAGGCACCCGGAGCACGCAGGCCGCATCCAGAGCATCTGGTCCCGGCTGCTGGAGCGGGGGCTCCGGAGCCAGTGTGAGGTAAGCAGGCGGCGTAGGGGCTGTGGGATCGGAGGAGGTGAGGGTCACAGAAGGGAAGGGGCTGGGAGGCCCTGGAGCCAGAGTGAGATGAGGGGCGGCAGGTTGGTGGCAGTGGCAGGGAAGGGGCCGAGCAGGGGCTCAGGAGCTCTGTGGGTCCTTCCTCAGTCTCTACGGGGCCGGAAGGCCTCCCTGGAGGAGCTGCAGTCAGTGCACTCGGAGCGGCACGTGCTCCTCTATGGCACCAACCCGCTCAGCCGCCTCAAACTGGACAATGGGAAGCTGGCAGGTAGGGGACCGATGGCGCCTGGGGCCCCCAGACCTCCCCTGGCTCACCCAGCCTGAGCATCCCCTGTGCTCTAGTCCTGGCTCCGCCCAGCCTGTCCCTCCAGTGTCCGGGACACCCCCATGCCGCCCTTAGTCCCTCTGCTGCCCACCTCCACCCCTCCCTGCCCACCCTGCCTGGCCCTCTTCTCAGAGCTTCCCCGCTCCCAGCCGGAGGCAGAGCAGATTCGGCTCACACACCTGGACCTCTCCCCACAGGGCTCCTGGCACAGCGGATGTTCGTGATGCTGCCCTGCGGTGGCGTCGGGGTAAGTGTGCCGAGGTCTCGAGCGCGCGTGGCCACGGGCTCTCGGACCTCCTCCCTTCCGTTCTCCCAGGCCCAGCCCCTGCCTGCTTGTTCTTGTGGTTCTGCCGGGCCCCGTGGGCCAGGGGCTCTCCCGTAGTGCCCCTGTGCCGGCTGGAAGCTCCCTGTGGCGGGCATGTCCTCCTGAGGGTGGAGTCCCATCCCTCACACTTGCAAGGCATTTGGTGGATGTTGAGGAGGCCCAAAGAGCAGGGCCGGCCCGGGGCTGGGGCTCGTCTCCCGTAGTGAGCACGCTGGCCTCCAGGCTGCTTTGCGTCCCTGGAGCGGGCTGCCCGGCCTGGGGCTGCAGGGATGCCGCTGGTGTCCTTGGCGACCGAGGCCTGTGCCTCCCACACCCTAGCTTTCCCTGCTCCCTCTCACCCCGCCTGGGGACTTCTGCCTGCCGGCAGTGCTCCCCTCAAAAGGTCCCTGCGCAAACCAAACCGGGCGTGTGGAGGCAGGGGACGGAGGCCCGGTCCTGGAGGGAAATGGGAGCTGTCGTTGGGGGGCTGCGTGGGAGCCGGTCAGCGCCCTGTTCACAACTTCCCATTTCTTGCCACTTTCTGATTTTTCCAACTGTTGTTGCTTCTGTTTTCTCCTCCCTCCGCTCCCTCTCTGTCTCTGTCTCTCTCTCTCTCTCCAGCCTCTTGCGACTCTCTCTGCCTTCCTCGCCTCTCTCGGTCCGCCTCGCCCTCCCCATCTCCCCATCACGCCCCCCGGCCCCTCCCTAGCCTTGAGGCCCAGGGACTGGGTTTGGGGGGCCTCCCAGCCTGGGCTAGGGGCCCCGAGTGGAAGACAGTGGTGCAGACGGCCCCTCGAGCTCCGACGGTCCCGAGGGCCTGAGCAGAGTCAGCTGGGGCTTAAAACCCCCTCCAGGCCCAAACCCCAAGTCCCGCCCAGGTAACGCCATGCCCCCTCCTCTGACCGGGGGGCAGGCGCGATGCTGCCGGCAGAGTGCTGGCCAGTTGCGGGCTGGTGATATGGACTGAAGCTGGGAAGGAGAAGTCGTGCCGGGACTGGGGGACACGGGAGGCCTTGCTTTTCTGGGCGGCGGGGCAGTGGGGCGGCAGCGCTGTCTGCCCAGCTCCCTGCCCCTGGGGTCCTGGCCGTGGGGTGGGCACCGCCCCCCGGGCCCTGGCTGCCGTGGGAGGCCTTGGATGATGCGGGCCCTGACTCTGGCCCCCGCAGGTGGATACCGACACCATCTGGAACGAGCTGCACTCCTCCAATGCGGCCCGCTGGGCTGCCGGCAGCGTCACTGACCTCGCCTTCAAAGTGGCTTCCCGAGAGCTAAAGGTAGGAGGTTCGAGTGGAGGGCGGGCAAGCCACGGAGGAAGGAGGCAGAGGATGGGGTAGCAGGGAAGGCCAGACCCGACACCCAGCATCACATTCCTCTTGGATATCACCACAGGGTTTCGAAAGGGAAATTGAGAGCTCTGGAGACCAAGATGAGATCTGAACCCTAGGCTCCTGTTACCTGGTGGGGAAGCAAGCCACTGTGCCCCTGGCCCTGTGGTCTCTAAGAGAGACAGGGTCACGATCATCCAGGATCGGTTAACACAGACCCGCTGTGTGACCGTGGGCAGGTTGCAGGGCCTCTCGGGAGCCCCGTGCGTTGGCAGAGCGCCTGTTTGTGATGCTGAGGTTTTACAGACCGGGTTGGCGCTCATTTGCTCATTTGCTCCGGGCTGGGCACCTTACGGGGGCTTGTGCCGAGCCCCCCGCCTGCTGTTTAGGAGCTCACAGTCCAAGTCCTAGCTCCACCATCTGCAGCCAGGCAACTTTGCACGTTGTTAAACCCGCGTAAGCTCCAGGTTTCTGCTCTCTGTAAACCAAATATAATAACGATGTTTATCTTATGAAGATTAGATAACGTTTACCTCAGAGAGCTGTGAGGATGAAATCCAGCATTTACCCAGTGCTTAGCACAGTGCCAGGCACGTAGATTTCGCCCAACAAATAATAGCTCTTGTGATTCCAAAGTGGTAACAGCCAGGAGCCACCGGGGTGGGAGGTTCTGTGTCCATGGGCCTGGGGGTCAGCACAGGGCCCTTGATACCCAGCCTGGTCATGGTCAGTCACGCTGGCAGCTGTTGCCCTGTGGTCCCTTCTTGGGGGAGGAGCCTGGGGATGGGGTGGGTGGGGGCAGGTTCATGGAGGTGTGGGTCAGAGGTCTGGCTGTTTGGTTGACAAGCATTCTTTCTGTTTCCAGAATGGTTTTGCTGTGGTTCGGCCCCCAGGACACCATGCAGACCACTCCACAGCCATGTAAGGCCTGGGGGAGGCCTGGGTGGGCTGAGGTAGGGGGCAGGCCCTCAAGGCCTTCCTGTTGGGACGTTCCCCCTCCTTCCTCTGAGCCTTCTGGGCTGGGCCGGGCCAGAGGCAGGCGGAGGGGGTGCGGCACGGGGAGGGAGTGGGCTGGCACGACCTCTCTTTTCCTTCCAGGGGCTTCTGCTTCTTCAACTCAGTGGCCATCGCCTGCCGGCAGCTGCAACAACAGGGCAAGGCCAGCAAGATCCTCATCGTGGACTGGGTGGGTCCCGGGTCCTGGCCCCGTCAGGTCCGAGAGGCCTGTGCAAAGAGCCCTGAGCCTGGCGTTAGGAGACATGGCTTCACGTCCCGCCTAGTTCCGCATTAGCCTCCCCGAGCCTCGGTTCCCCCACTGTGTAAAACCGGGGAAATGCGGTGAGGGTAATGCCCCCATCACGGGGCTGCTGGGAGGCCCAGAGGAGATGGTATATGGAAAGGCCTCAGCTCCCACAGGGGAGGGGCCGTTTGAAAGCCGTCTTTTGGCCTCTGTTGGCTTCTTCCTGCAGATCTGATCATTTCTGCCTTTCTCCTGCAGGTAGTGACAGTACCAGTAATAACACATGACATCAACATCCCACTAATCGCATCCAGACACTGATGGTTTCACGCCTCATATATTTAACCCTGACTCTGACCTGGTTTACAGATGAGGAAAGTGAGCACAGAGAGGTTAGGTAACTTGCACACAGCTCTACACCTCGTCAGTCCTGAGACTGATTTTGAACCGAGGCCTGTTAGCTCTGGAGCATGGCCTCGTGCTCTACTTTGCATTGACATCATCTGCTTATGGGACATTCCTGCCCGGAATGGAGAAGAGTGGAGGAACTTGCCACACTTGCGCCCACGCGTGGTCCTGTGAGTTACCGTGGCTCTCCCTGGAGGGGTGGCGCTGGGCCTCATGGTCCGGCCCCTCTGCAGCGGAGCATGGTTTGCATCACTCCATGACCTTGGGCAAGACACAATAACGAGAGTTCCGGACACGTGTGACCCTGGACTCTTCCCTCTCCTGGCACTGATCCTCCCCTGGCACGCACTCTTGCCTCCCCTTCAGGGTTTCGTGTTACTGCTACCCCCACCTAGCGTGCTGTGTACACATCTATACATACAAGGGGAGACTGAGGCTCAGAGAGTGCCCGTGGGTCACGCAACAGTTTAGCTCTAGGAGCCCCCATGTTCTCACCCCCAGTCTAGACTCCTGACCCTCAGAATGGTCACCGACCTTGAAACCTTTCCAACCTGCCCCAGTCTCCACGTCTCTGCTTTCAGACCTGCCCTAATCCACTGCCCATCTCCCTGCACAGGATGTTCACCATGGCAACGGCACACAGCAGACCTTCTACCAGGACCCCAGCGTGCTGTACATCTCCCTCCATCGCCATGACGATGGCAACTTCTTCCCAGGCAGTGGGGCTGTGGATGAGGTAACCACACCTTCCAGCCCCCCTGACTCTCCCTTGGGGTCCTTACTCTGCCCCTGTCACAACTAGCTGTGTGATCTGGGCAGGCTGTTGAGCCGCTCTGAGCCTCAGTGTCTCCATCTGGAAGTGAAGAGGCTGGATGAGCTGGCCTTGCAGCACTGACATCCTGGGATCCTTCTCTTGGGACTCTGCCCTCCTCACGTCTCTCTTGCCTCCTGTTTTCCAGGTGGGAGCTGGCAGCGGTGAGGGCTTCAATGTCAACGTGGCCTGGGCTGGAGGTCTGGACCCCCCAGTGGGGGATCCTGAGTACCTGGCCGCCTTCAGGTGAGTGCTCTGGGGACCCAGAGGAGGCCTGGCCCAGCAAGGCCACCCTCTCCTGCCCTTTTCCAACGGCACCAGATTGGAGGGGATCAGGTGGCTGGTCAGCCTGTCCTCATCCAATTACTACACATTATAAGCCAGCCCCGGAGTGGGCCTGTGGACTGAGACAAACAAAGGGAAAGGCACTGTTACACTGGCTTCTAGGGGGCTTCGGTCCCTGTGGGGAGACAGGAAACACAGAATGAAAGGTCAAAGGGTGCTTTATATTATAAAGTTTATAATGTCACACGTTACCAAGAGCCAGTGTTGACCTGAGTGCGGGGAGATGGGCAGGGTGGAGTGAACAGCTCTGCACAGGAACTGAGAAACTGAAATTGTGGAGAAAGAGGGAGAGCACGCAGGTGACGTCCGTATTGGGGGAGTTGCTTAAGAAAGGCCATTGTGGAAGAGGGACTTTGCTCAGGATCCCTTATATCTTTCACTCTGAGCGTTCCTGTACTCCATTTGGAGAAAGAGAACCCTGGAAGTAGGTCTCCATATACTTTTCTAGAGTGTTCTCGAGAGCTAATTCTATAGGAGCCCTGGGCTGGGGTTCCTGGCATCTGTGTGCCCAGAGCCCGGGGCCTTGAAGGACACCACAATGGACCCCCGAGTTGGGTGAGGGATGGAGGGAGGCAGCTGTGAGGGGCCAGCGGGGGCAGAGGATGAGAATGGATCTGGTGGCCCAGGACCTCAGAGGGAGTCCGTCGCCCTGGTCAGCTCTCAGGTGGCGAGTGGTGAGGTGTGGCCAACTCAGTCCTAAGTGGGTGGCAGCTAAGTGCTGAGTGTTTCCATTGTTGCCCTGAGGCTTAGTGACCTGCCCCTTCCCGAGGCCCTGCCCACCGCACCCCCCGAAACACACACAAACACACCCACACACCCACTCCTCTTTCATCCCCCCAGGTGCCTTCCTGCCTCTCGCCAGTTAAGTGCCCTGGGTGGCTGAGTCCTTAGGCTGTACCAGGGACATGGGTGGCCAGCCAAGGTCAAGGAAGTCAGAGGCATCTGCTCATCCTGCTGGGAGAGCGGGTGTCTAGGAGTCCTAAGAGCAGGGTGCCCCCAGTAAAGTTGGTGGGAGAGGGCGGGCGGGGCCCTTGGCCTCTGCCCCTGGCGGCCCTGCACAGCGTGGTGAGGCCCCCTTCTGCTCACACAGGATAGTCGTGATGCCCATCGCCCGGGAGTTCTCTCCGGACCTGGTCCTGGTGTCAGCTGGGTTTGATGCTGCCGAGGGTCACCCACCCCCACTGGGTGGCTACCATGTTTCCGCCAAATGTAAGCAGGGCCCAACCCAGGGGGCAGGTATAGGGAGTGAGGACTAGGCTGGGAGTGGGGGCACTGCCCAAGACTAGGGGGAGGTGGCAGCGGCTGGCCCAGGGCCCCAGCACAGACCAGGTCAGTTCGCCGTGGGAGGCCTAAGTCACACCCAGGGGGCTTAAGTCCCATAGACCAGAAGCTCGGTCACAGGACTCCTCCCACCCCAACTGTGTCCTTCCCGGGCTGGGCTGGCAGCTCCTCCTGGGGGGGCAGTGGGGAGGAGCAGTGTTCTCAAAACAGAGGGAGCCCACTCAGCCCACTGGTTCATGGGGCCTGGAATATGGTGTGTCTTAGCGAAAAAGACATGGGCTGGAGTCCATGCCCTGGGTTCCGGTCCCAGCCCTGCCACTTACTAGCTGCCCTTAACCTCTCTGAGCCTTCAGCGAGGCATCCTAGTAGGATTTACAGGGGATTCCATGTGAAAGCACTTGGGAAAGTAGAGATTTATGCATCTGAGTCACTCTTTCTAGGGCAGGAATCAAGCAGGGAAATACCAGAGTAGAGAGGGCCTACCTCTCCTCTGCCGCTGCCCCTCCTAACCCTCCTCACACAACCATCTAGGTTTTGGGTACATGACGCAGCAGTTGATGAGCTTGGCGGGAGGTGCGGTGGTGCTGGCCTTGGAGGGTGGCCACGATCTCACAGCCATCTGTGACGCCTCTGAGGCCTGTGTGGCTGCTCTTCTAGGCAACAAGGTGAGGTGCCTGCCCCTGATCCATGCGTCGGTGGGGCAGGGCGTCCAGCTCTCCCAGGAGTGCCCCAGGGAGCAGGTAGACAGGGCGCCTCCCTGAGGGCATGCAGATGGGCGGGGTGGGGGTGGCCAGGCCTGGAATGAGGGGAGCAGCGTGGATGCCTCTTCCCCAGGTCAGGCGTAGGGCCAGCGTCCCCTGCCCTAGGTAGAGCCGGGAGCACATGCCTATTTGCGCTTGGAAAGCGGGGGCCCGGGGGTGGGAGAGAGCTGGGCCTGGGGGGTCCCTGAGAGATGGGCGACTGATGTACTCTTTTCTTCTGTAGGTGGATCCCCTCTCAGAAGAAGGCTGGAAACAGAAACCCAACCTCAATGCCATCCGCTCTCTGGAAGCTGTGATCCGGGTGCACAGTGAGTGTGGACAGAGGACACCGCTGACCCCAGACTTGGGAGAAACTTGGGGCTCTGCTGCCCCCAGTGACCAGGGCCCCAGGTCTTCCAGCACCAGCCAGGCCATGGGTGCTGCTGCTCTGGAGTAGGCTTCCTATAAAGTACCCCATGATAATGGGAGGCAGCCCCCGCCCCCCACCATGAGTGGATACCCTCGGAGCCCTCCAGATGGACCCAGTGGGGACCAGGCAGGACTGGCCTCCCATCCCCAGCTGCTGCCCTAGGCCAGGGCCCTGCCCACAGCAACACTCAGGCCTTGTTTGTGGAAGTGCTGGTTCCCACCCTGACCCTCAAACCTGGCCGCAGGGTCTTAGGAGCTCTGGCTGCTTCGGGGGCTGAGTCTTAGGTTAACCCCACATTTGGAAAGCACTTTAAATTTTCAGCTTCAGCTCAGCATCTGTGGAGCTCTTTATGTAAAGACCCGTGATCTATTCCAGGGATACAAAAATGAACAAAACAGATTTCCCACATCCGGGCTCAGTAGGGCTGTTGTACATGACAGTGAAGCTGCTGCGGGTACTCGGTATGGAGCCCTCCCACTGGGCCAGGCTCTGGGCCGGGCGTGTTCCGTGGACATTATTTCTCGCCACAGCAGGCAGGACGGTTGTGTCCGTGGTCTAGATGGGGCGGTGGGAGTCCAAGGTGGTAAGTGGCTTGCCAACAGCCAGACAGAGGGGCCGCAGTGTTGGTCACCTCTCCCGGCACTGTGTCCTTCTGGCCTCCCATGCCTGTGCTGCGCTGAGCGTTGCCAGGGGCTACGTGGGAGGGGGACCCTGGGCTCCAGCAGGCCGGGGCTCAGGGCTCCGTGAGGTCACCATGACACAGACCCCATCTAGGGGAAGGGAGGCCCTAATGGGGCACTTAGGAACCCCACACCCATGGGAATGGGTTAGCGGTGGCCTTTCAGCCAAAGGCGTGTGGGACTGGCTTGGACCTCTGCGAGGGCCCCTCACTGCCACGCTGAATCCGCACTGCTCACCCTGTCAGGGCTTCGGGGGCAGAGTCAGGGAGGGTGTTGCATTGAGGGTGGAGGCAGGTGAGAGCTGACCCCACACCGAGGACGCGTCCACTACTCCTGGGCCCCGGGCCTGAGATGTGCAGCCTCAGGATCAGTCTAGGATGCGTGGTGGGCAGGTGGAGGGCCTTGTGCCCCCAGCCCTTTCTGACTCGGCTTCTTACCCAGGTGAATACTGGGGCTGCATGCAGCGCCTGGCCTCCTGTCCAGACTCCTGGGTGCCCAGGGTGCCAGGGGCCGATGCAGAAGTGGAGGCAGTAACTGCACTGGCATCCCTCTCCGTGGGCATCCTGACTGAAGAGCGGTAATGCCAGACCCCTGGCTAACAGCCCCTCCAGCCCCTCGGACCCTCCCAACGTGCGGAGCCCAGGCTTCGGCCCAGCCTCCACGGCCTTCTCGGGCTTCCTGGGAAGCTGGGCTCAGGCCTTTCCTGCAGCCCCTGGCTCTTCAGCAGCAACCCCCCCTTTCCCTCCCCCAGGACCTCAGAGCAGCTGGTGGAGGAGGAAGAACCCATGAATCTTTAGGCTACAGGACGGATCTGGCCCGCCCCC